CCCACCACCTAGAACATGGGCAGACCCCATGGTTTTTTCAACCAGCACTTTAGCATAGCAAAGCCTTTGTGTGTTGAACATTGTTGAATTGTTGTGTCGGGGCATATGTGCTGGCCCCGTCCAAAGAAAAGGCAAGGCTGAACAGACCGTGGCAGCTGAGGTTGTGCTGCTGAAAGGATTTTCCTTCACCGAGCTGAAGGTGCGAACGTTCGGAACGCGGGAGGGCGGCATGGAAGCACCTATAGGGCCACGAGACGTAGGGTTCGTTTGGCCTTTATTGTAAGGAGGGCAACATCCTGAGGACCGCAACGAACGTGATCATTTTGATCATCATTAGGATTTTAGCATACATTGGGTCGATAGAGCATGTTGGAGATTATGACCACTAATGCAACCTATGACATATGATATGCAGGAACAACACTATATCAACTGTCGTATTTGTATGACCCTTCGAACTACAAGGAGAGAGAGAGAGAGAGCTTGTTCCGCTTCCATGACATTGCTGGGCTGAACTGAAGCTTCGAATGGTCAAACTGTTTTTTTCATGTTCAAAGCTCCTGGACTTGTCAGGGTTGGAAAGAGGTTGAGGTGTTCTTCGGAGATTTCTCCCTATAAGCGGGAGGAGCGCTTGCCCCAACTTCCTTTGTGTTTCCACCTCAGATGGGCATCCTGGCAGAGAATCATACGGGGGGTGGCTGGGATTCCGAAAGCCACCGAAATCACCGTTGAGGGCGCCAGCTTGGAGTTTGCCCCCGCGGGCCGAAAGCATTGTCTCAGCTTCTCTGTGGCGTCCTCGGTGGAGATTCAGCTCCTCAAGGTCGGTGGGTTGGTGAGGACGACGTTCGTTTTCATCATGTTGAAACTCGGAGTGTCTTCAGGCGTCTAGGTGTCTTCAGGTGTCTCCAGGTAGAGTCCATGTGAATTGAGGGACGACGTTGGCGTCTTCAGGTGTCTAGGGCTTAGACTCCATCCTTTCCGACTTGCAATGCAGGAAAACCAGTAGCCTGTTTGACGCACCGGTCCCCAGTCGGTCGGCAGCGAAGCCTCGGCCCGGAAAACCCGTCGCAGGACATGCCCGAGACCACGGTATCGGAAGCTCGACGCTTGCCGTTGAACGCGCGCCTGTCCCTCCGCGCGCGGGTGCAGAGCGTGGAGAGTTTGAACGTGGCACAGCCGGGGATGAGGCCCAAGCGCACTGGGGGGCGTGTGACTGGGAACAGAAAAAGCAGGAAGGTCGCTCCAACTGTAGAAACAATCCAGCATTCTTCAGATGCAAAGATGGCAAGATGAGTATATGCCAGTTGCTCTAGCTTGAGGTCAATCATAAGCAATCCATTCATTAGATTTCATTAGTACAACATGTAACTATAGTAGAGCAAGCCTAGCCGAGAGTGCCGAGAGTTGATATAAACCTCCTTTTCATTGTGCGTATACTTGTTGACGCCTCTACGACACTTCGGAGGTGGCAGTGCATGCGGAAGATACACCTGCAAGAGCTAGAAAGAGAAGAAGGCTGAAGAAGCAGCAGGGTTTGATTGAAGTCTAGCTTAATTACGCACCTGATGTGCCTGCATCGGTGTATAAAGACAAGCCTTCCCCTTGGAATTGGTGTTCAGGGGCTCCATCGCCGCCAGACTTTGGGGAGTGTCAATCCCGACTAGACTGGATGTTCCCGCCACGGGATCCGGGCAGAACCCGGTTCTGCGCCAACACACATGATTTCTGAGGTGCCTGTTCAAGCAAAACCGTTTTTTTGAAGCACTGCAAACGCCAACTATGTTTGTCTCGAAGCACTTTTGGAGTCGTTTTGCATTCCAAGGGCAATGCTTTCAACCAGCTCCTTCAAAGTGACCTCAAACCAGGATAGCAAAGGGTCACTTTGAAGAACCATGCATGTTAAATCAATGTTTGGAAACGCCAAGGTTTCCGACCAAACGGCAACTTTTGCTCACAGCTAACTTTGGCAATCTCTGTAAAAGATGGTAGAAGCCTGAAGTGGTACATGTTTAAGTCAAACGGCCTTTATGAAAGCAACGACCAAATATAGTTAGTATATATTGTGTGTGCGTATTGTGTGCGTTTTGTTTTTCCGCAAGACGGTGGAAACACATGCACCCTGGTGGAAGGTCCTGGAATCACATTGACGCTCTGGAACCAGATGGCCCGTGACTACGGCGAAAAGCAGCTGCCGCCGGGCCAACGGATCTTTGTCCGAAATGCCAAGGTCACTGAGTACTTGCGAAGCAAAGAGCTCACTGGGTGCTCTGAGATTGCGCTGATTTGAGCAAGTAGCTTGATCACGCGAGCTGGCACCATCGGGAGGCTGATGGAGCTTGACCTGCAAATGATAGGAGGCCAATCTTTGACAGCTGCCTGTTGTGCTGCTTTGCTCGCGAATGACCTTTTATACGGGACATCCCGTGCCAATCCAGCCCATATCCCTTTTTGGGGAAACTCAAGTTGCGCGTTTGGTTTGGTTCTAGCACTGTGCAGATCAGGTTTGTGCAACATTTTACAGCCAGTAAGTCCATTAATCACAGTTTTAGCATGTTTTAGCAAGCAAGATCCTAGACGTCGCGCAGTAGGACAAGAGTGCAAGATGCATCCGACGAGCCAAGAGTGCTTCTTTATTTATGGCCCTTGATTGCCATAGCTCCGGTGGTGATGACCTTCCGTTCCATGTAGTCTTGGTCCTCTCCTGTAGGGTCCTGAAAGCAAAATATCTATTTGCTATCTTTGGTTGCAGCTTGCTGTTTGCACGCATCCGAGCTCTTACCATTTCTTACCATAATGTAGACTGACTCTTGATTCGTCAAACCTCCCATATGAAGAGGTCTTACAGTCTTACAATCAAACATGTGCATACAAAGTCTTTGGGCAAGGGCGCGATCCGAGTCACTAACATGGAAGTGGAAAACCACCTGTTTGTAGGCGAAAATGGTCATCCAAGATCATTTGAGGGCCATGCCATCCACTTCCATGATTGTTTCAGGGAGTGTAAATCAACATGAACGCATAATTAAACCATGGCTCATAGTCATATATAGTCATATGAGTCATATGTTGAGAGGGAGCGGAGTTCCTGCCACCAAGCAGACCACAGGCAAAACGTCCAAGTGTGTGGAGAGCGCATGTTCTTCCAGGGAAGTACAATCCAGAAGAGCAACTATATGATATGTTACAAGATAGTATATATATATAATATAGTCCACATCATTCTTTGATGTTCCCAACAAAATGCGTTCATTGCACACCCACTAGGCCAATGATTAGGCGCTGTGTTGCTCAAGGCTTGCTACCGGAGCCATAGCGTCAGACTAGGCCCTGCTGCTTATGAGAGCATCGCTTGGAGTCCCATGTATGGGTTTGCTTTGGAGAAAGTCAAGGGAGGGGCCTCGACTCCAGAAGGTGGGTTCGACTCCAGGAGGTGAGGTTCGACTCCAGGAGGTGAGGTTCGACTCCAGGAGGTGAGGTGGGCCCTGCCTTGGTGTGTCAAGATCTACTGTCTACTGTCTTGCTTTGCAGGGGCTGGGTATGTCTTGAACAACTGGACTTGCTGAATTCGGGACATCTGGAAAGATATTATATTCCAGGTTGGGAGCCATTAAGGAACAAATGAGGGTTCAGAGGAAGGTTTCCATTAATTCATATCGTCATTAAGTAATTGTGCATGTGGCTTATATCATATGAAGAGATAACATAGAAAACACAACCATCTCAACACTAGGTCACTAGGTGATGCCAAAGGAAGCCGCATGTTTTTGGTGTTGCAACATTATCCTGCGGTTCTGCTTTCCAACCCTGGCACTTTCGTTCTCTATCCCCAGCCAGTCACTAGCTAAGTGTATGGAGGAAAAAAGGCGACCCCATGGCCTTAGCCAAAAAGAATGCCCGGGACTCCATGATGACTCACCTGTAAAGTAGGGGTTCGCCTCTTCTGAGGCCTTGGGGGGAAATCGCAAGCAAGCAAGACCTGAGCCAAAAAACAAATTGAGACCAGATGGACGACGGGGACAGGGATAGCTGAGCTATGAGCTGAGCGAGCTGAACTGCATTTCATCGGTTCAGTGAGATGCGTTTCATTCTTTCGCGAGCATCGCTGATGGCTTTCCGCCAACAGGTCGTCTCCTTCACTAGCGCCACGAAACTCAAGCTATTTACATGAACTTTATAAGTGTATGTTGACCTCCACCTGCTGCAATCCGACATGGACTGCAAAACGCCAATGAATTGTTGGTAGAGGAAATAATTGCTTGCAGGGTTCTGAAGGGGAAACGATGAAGTTCTGTCTAATCCCAGCGAACCATTAGAGGCAGCAATCTTGCAAGCCCGGCAGTTGTCAGCCTGTCATTTACTTGGTGCAGGAAGATCACACATTTGCAGTTTGAAGACTTAAAGCATGACTTAACCATCTCAAACATCTCAAACAAAGCTCACATCCACTACTTGGTCTACGTCCCACACTTCGAAGTGAATGTTGCAGCACACACATACGCCACCGAACCCCCCCCCGTTCCTTCTGGGTTTTTAGCCTGTGACCTCGCAAAAACCGGCTTGGATCGCCAGGCTGGGGATCCTCCCGGTGCCCGGCTACGATGGTCACAAGAATCATGGCATCCATCTGACCACTGGCGAGGCCGTCACCATCGGTTGCGGTCGACGTTTCTACCCGCCTCATGCGGAGGTCCGATCCTGGAAAACCGGACCATCCGATCCATACGTTTGTAGATGGTTTGAATTCCCCCCCCCAACCCAGTGGCGACAGAGACATCTAAATCTGTGAGTGCGCAGCTCATATGAAGCGGTTCTTCTATGCAAATGGAGGGGAAATTCTACATGATGTGGTTCCGGATTGGGTGCATGCTGTACCAGTCCGGTGGGGACACAAGGAAAAAGCGCTACCGTGTCGTTGACCGTGTCGTTTTCACGTCGTCATTCCGCTGCACGTCGTCACGCGCCAACGTCGTCATGTTCCGTTTTGAAAGGTGGGATGCTTCATGAGCCACTTCACCATTTGGCATCATATGGTGAAGTTCTACACTCAGACCACGGATCACCAAGGGAGCTTAGACTTAGAGGCTTTTTTCGGCCAGCGGGATATGTTTTTCGTTCTCAGGCGAGGTGTTTGAAGCCATTTCTCCGGCGCACTGTCAAAAATTGTGTCACAGTGAGATATTTGGTGCAGAACATTCCGACCGCGCGATCATTTGAACAGCCTTCCGAGCTGATGACAGAAGACTTTTCAGATGGCAGAACACGCGAACACGCTGGACAATTCATCACTCAAGACTCAAGGGATGATCTTTAGTTGCAAAGTTTTGGGTCGTGTCAGTGAGGGCATTGTGTCAGATGTTCCATGTCCATCCTTTGCGAATCATATCGAGCCCATCAGTTGATGAGGCACCAGATTCCAGCCGCATTGATTCTGGAAGATGACTTTGATTTGCAGCCAGACTTTGCGTCTGCCTGGCGAAGTTGTTGTTTTCCTCGAAGCATGTGGAAAGGGTAGCATGCTGAAGCTGGATGTGAAGAGGGTGACCGTAACAGTGCAGGGATTCACTCCATAGTGACATAGTGCATAAAGTTACCCCCTACCTCAGGCTCGCTCGCGATCATGTTCTGAGTAATGGGAAAGCACCAGGGCCGGAAGATTTCTGGCAAGACACTGTTCAAACAGTCACTTCAACTAGACCCTATACGCGCGGAATGGTCGTGTTACGAACGTTTAAAACCTGATAGGACATGCAGGCACAGTGCTGCTGACCTGTACGATTGTTTGAAGATATGCTGCATGTTCATGAGTAGATGCATGTACATGTCTAAATTAAGCAAGCTTCCGAAGATAAAGAAGATGTCCCAAACTGACTTACCCTTAGCACTTTGATGTTTTTTTTGGTCTCTCACGCAGATGTTTTGGATTTTAAAAGCTAGCCTCCGGTAAAACTATTATCACATGGGAGCTGAGTAGGGAAGGATTTTCCAACGCACTACCTGCTGTTGGGGTCAAGTTATGTCAAGTTCTATGTTCGTTCAAGGCGGCAAAAGAGAGACTTGAATTTGCAGTTGGAAATGATTGCTTGCAACCCGCAAGTGCTCAAGTCTCTCCCCTCCGCTCCCCTGCGCCCCTCAACTTGATCGTCGGAACGCCGAGTTGCCGAGTGAACACTCGACAAATCCAAGAGAGCACCATGGGTGCCACGGGGTCTTCATGGTTCTTGCCGAAGCATCCGGAAGGCCCCTTTTTCATCATTGGCCAGGACCAAGTTGGGAGAATACTTGGAGGAGGCTGTGCTCCTCTTCCCTCGCTGCATTGATGTCAACGTGCTAGGTCTTTGGCACTTGGTCATTTCTGTCGGTCTGGTGGGAGACAACCTGTGGGTGGCAATACTTTAGCCGAAATGCTGTTGTTTGATGTTAATTATAATCATTTGTATTCATATGTTCATTGTAGCTCATCCCAAGATATCGTTTGAAGCGTGCACAATTCTTGAGAGTAAGACCTGGAGAAGCGACATCATTTATCTTGTGGCTTGCACACTGCAGCAGCAGGCCCGTGGCTACGATTGGAACTTGATGTATGTTGGGCCCGGTTGCCTACACTTGTGCCGACAGACGCGAAGAGTGGTGAAAAATTGCAGTCAGAGAGGAGGACTTCATCAATCCCACTTGCAGTTTCAAGCCCGATTTCATTTTGCTCCCAGCCTGGGTTGCCTCACCTCTCACTGGCTTGGCCAGGAGGGTGCACCTGTTTGAATTCATGGAGTTGCCACACTGAACAGGTATTCTAACTGGACATATCTCGACTTGTGTGCATGGCCCTGCCCTCAGGCGAAGCCCCACAGAGGCGGATTGGACCAGGCTGAGCGCTCACGTGGTGGAGCCGGGCTACACTCTTTGGACGGCCGCTTGGTTGCGAGGAAGGCCGTTGCGACATGTTGCGACTGGGTCACGCGACGACCAGTCAACGTGGGAGCTGATAGTCTCAAACGTTTGAGGTGGGAGGTCCACTTAAGAGGTGAGCTAAGGTTTTCTTCTGGTGACCTAGCTTGGTGAAAACATCCCAGTTTTCCTCTCTAGTCTTTAGTCTTTAGTGTGGTCCTTGCAGGCCTTCCTTTCGTTTAAGTAGGGCTGTTCCTTTCCTTTTTCCATCTTGTTCCTAGTCTTTCCTCTTCAACATGATCTTTGATGGTGCGGAGCATTTCTGTCAGCTCATGCTGGTCGTTGATCATGTGAGTCTCCCGCTCTGTACGACCGGACGCCATGGGAAAACGACCGGCTCCGCTGGACCTGGACCTGGAGCCAGTCAAAGTACTGCTGCCGTTGATGCAGTACCAGCGATGCCTGGTTTTGCCAGTGATTTGTATTTTCTTTATGGGATCTTATGGGTAATTAGTCGTTATTATGCAAATGGGTAGATGTTTGCTTCCGGGAAAATTGGGTTGCATACCAACAAATCCCAGGATGGCAGGTGATGAATGCCTATGCGGAGCGTCATTCGGAGACAAATGTCATCGAAGTGATGCATATCCTGTTGGCGGATCCAAGAATTCAGCTGGATGCTACAATCTATACCATTGGTATTTCAGTGACTTGAAGTGGAACAATTCTTAGGGCCCTGGCTTTGGAGTTGAAGCTTATATAACTATGTTGAGATATGAGATATGTGTTTTGTTCTCAGGCAGCCTGCTCTCCCAATCGTGCTCCGTCATTTTCAGTCAGGCTTGTGCAAGGGCCACGTTGCCACAGACAGCACTGGAGTTTTTTCATTCGATGCGGGAGAGGAAAGCTCAGCCAGATCTCATCGCCTGCAATGCAACTTGCCACAGATGGCCGGAGCTGAGAAGTACTGATCACACACTGTAAGAGCATTGAAATGCACTGACCGGAGGTGAAGTGCTGTTTCAAATAAAAGACGGTAGTCCAGCGGGTGCGGCTTGCTTCTTTAACCTTGCCTTCACTGAATTCACATGGATACCTTCTTGATTAGGCGAACACGCCTGCTGGTTCAAACGACCCTTTTAAGCAGCTCAGCATCGGATCGTTGACGGAATCACCTCCAGGTCACTTGTTCGGGTCAAAGCTTTCAGGGATAGCAGGCTACTAGAACGAGCAGGATAAGATCCCAAGTGCCGAGCTTTAGAATTTGAGAATGTGCACCACTAAGGCAATGGTGAGCTCTTGTGAAAAGGCTGGGCGTTGGCGGCCAGCTTTGACCTTTTTGGAGTCGATGCTCACCAAGAAACTTCAACCCAACATCGCCACTGAGCAGTTTTTGGTCTCAAAAGGGGTTCATTTTTAGCACCGCTGGGGGGGGTACAGAATGCAGAATCTCCGAATCGTCCTGCAGGCATGTCGGGAAAGTGCATGGGGTGATGTTTTTCTCCGAATAATGTGAGCAAGGATGAGCAAGGTGGTTCACATGGGAATGGCACTATTTGCTGTACATTCTGTGGTTCGGCCCCTGTTTCAAGCCAGATGTTCTCAAATCAATGTCAAGAGCCAAAGCCACATGATTCTATTGGTATGGGCATGAATGGGCGTGTGGCAGCACCTCAAGCGCTCAATTGTCAACTCACATCCTTCTGTGGCCACTACAATAAACATTTTTAGTGGGGATCTACTTTTCTATCCATTTGGGGTCTATATATAAATAGATATATAGTATAATATATATAATATAAATATAGTATTTTTGTTGTATCAGCGGATGACCCATGCTTCGCTCTTCAAGGTGACCTTCAGTTCAACCATGAGCGCCTGTGAGAAGCAGTGGCAGCAGACGCTCTCCATCTGGAAAGCACTGGGCCAGGTGAAAGTTGAACCCAATGTCTTTAGCTTCTCGGTAACACTTCATATTGCAGATATTGTAGGCCAACATTGATGAAGTGCCTTTTTTGCATGTCACAGTGCCTTTTTTGTTCTGAAGTGCTGGTTTTTTGATAGACCTCCAGCAATGGTTGGTCTAGTTATCCCCGTGGAGAAGCCCAAAAGTTCCAATTGCTACACCGCTCAAACCACCGCTACCCGCCGAAAGACCTGAAATTCCGAGGCTGCACAGCCCGGGTGACATTTCCGCCCCATGGTCAGGCTACAATCTGTTGGACGCAGCCGAAAAGCACCAAAATGTCTCATGAAAATCATGAAAGCTCATCAAAGTTCTAATTTTCTTGTTACGATGTTGTTATGACTAAATCTGACTAAGCTTTAAAACGTGGGTCGTTTCTTTTATGGAACCTCGGAGCTTCTATCATAGCATCCCACTGGTCCCACCACTTCTCAGGCTACAGCGCGGCAATTAGCTCGTATGAGAAGTGCGAGCGTTGGTGGCAGTCTTGGGAGCTCTTCAACCAAATGTCCGCGACTTGGTCCAAGTGGTTTCCGTTTTTACGCAGCGCGGAGTCGTGGCGCCAAAGAAGCCCCGCCTTGGCTCGTTGAAGCCGAAGATGTCGACAACGCGAGTTTCCAGGAGCCAACTTCGAGTACATCACTAATCCAGCAGTTCCAAACAGGTGCTTAAGCTTAGGGACTAGACACTAAACACCACCCCTTTGTGACCTTTGGATGCAGCATGATGCAGCAATTGCCGTTTTGGCGGCTTTGAGGGTTCCTCTCTAAGCAACTCGCGTGGATCTGCCTACAGCGAGCTTGGATTCCAGACCCACGTATTCATAGCCATTCCATGGACCCGATGTCCATGTCGAGGATTCGGGGAAGCGTCCAAAGGCAAAGAGACCATCTTGAGAATGAAATCCTAACTAAACCAATCTAAACCATACTAAATCTGTCCACCAGGGTTCCCAAGCGTTCGGCGTGGCTTTCGAGCACAGCTTGACGCAAGGAAGCAGGAATGCAGCCCAATGTGGCGTGCTTCAATGGGGCTTTGAGCTCGTGCGTGCCTTGGACATGATTCTGCCATGTAAAAAATGGAGCCACATGACAGACATTGCATTCTGAGAAGCAATAAAGCCCGTCAGATTCGATCAATTCAAGAGTCATGTTATGTTGCATCATTTTTGGTGTGCTTGGCTCTGTTCATATCGCCGATCGTTTTGGCTTTCCAAATTGATGGGAGATGCTCCAACATACTCCAACCCTTTGTTTTCATTGTGGTGACTTATCATATCCCACCATATTTTGTAGGAATCGTTGTCGAACCCCCTGGATCAAAACAGTAGACCGCACCATGATCACACCAATTCATCACTTCGCCAGAACATGCTGGGGTCTCGCACCGGTCTGAAACATTCCGATGACCGATCGACGCCACGAACCTGCAGATGCCACGAACCTGACGCCTGGCGCATCATGTCAGCATTGTTTCATTCGTGTTGTCTGACTCTGAGGGGAAGGGCGGCGAGTGGCCACAAATCCTCACTCACATGGAGGCCATGATGGGCAGATCTGTACTACCGAACCTTTGCAGCTTCACTTTGGCCATCAACTTGGCCAAGTGGCAGGCCAGGGGTTGGAGATTGAGGGATGAGGGGATGATACTGTAATAGGCTTGAGCCAATTTTAGGTTTTGGATGGAGATGTTTTGGGTATGGAGATGAGGCATTCCACCTAAACTGGGCCTGGAATGACTGGCGTGGGCTGTGACGTTTTTTTGAAGAAACCAGAGTCGGTGCTGATAACATTCTATTATTTGCACCATGTGAGCAGGATCTCACTTTTCCTTCAGGTGTCCTTGTGGCTTCTCCTGGCCATGCCCAAAGAGGATCTTCATCCAAATGCGATCACCTTTGGTGCCATGCTCAGCTCATATGCGAAGTCAGGGAACTGGCAACGCGCCTGGAGCACCCTATGCAGCCTCAAAGACACCAGGGCGAGGCCGAACCTCGTTTGCTGCAATGCTTTGATTGCCTCATGTGAGGTGGCCGGGGAGTGGCAAAGAGCTATGGAAGCATTGGAACTGACCTCCCAGTTCAACCTTCAACCTGATGCGATCACCTTCAGCACTGCCATTAGCTCCTGCCAAGTTGGGAGCCAATGGGAGGTAGCCCTTCATATTCTGCATGGCATGCCTTCTACCGTTCGGCCCAACGTTTTTAGCTTCAGCGCAGCCATCAGTTCCTGCAAGGAGCAGTGGCAGCAGGCTTTGAACCTGGTGGATTCTTGGTCTCAAGCTCGTTTGCATCCGACAGGATCCCACAAAGCTTGGCTGGTGAGTGTTTCAAGGCTGACTTGGTTGACTAGATAGCATATTTTGTTGGCCAGATTCTGGCGCACATGGGTGCCATCCCATGTATGGGTGTTGCTTTAGCCGGTTCCCCTTTGGCACATGGGACATGATTGGACCCCCAGGTTGTGGAGGCATATAGTCTTCCAGGAACTTCGGGGTTCCATTTTCAGGATCCATTTTAGACTGCGGGGAGGCAATCAATATATATATATATACATATATATTAAATAGTATAATTAAAGATGTTACAGAATCAGACTGCAAAGTGAGGAGTTGATGCTGGAGTGCGAGGTTGAGCCAAACCATGTCAGTTTGAATGCGGTGCTCAGCTCACTGGAGAAGGGCCACCGGTGGCAAGAGGCGTGGAGCTTTCTCAACTGCATGCCAGTGCAGCCTGACGTCATCAGTTTTACTTATGCTATCAAGGCCTGCCAAGATTCTCAAGCATGGCAGGTGGCGCTAAGAATTTTGACGCACATGAAACGTGTGGACGTGCAGCCGAATTCTGCCACATACATGTCGATGATCAGCCTTGGCTGAGCTGTGAAGAATTCATGGAACTACCTATTGGCTTAGAATGTGGACTGTAGAATGTGCTTCTTTCAGCAATCTACAGTGCACTGAGTGCACATGCCTAATGATCATTTGGGTGGAACTGATGAGCCTCTCTGCTAGAAACTAGTAGAGCAGGCCGTTTTTCTGTCCAGTGAGGGAAGCCGAGCCCGCTGACACCTCCGAAGCTCGGACGTTTTGGACCTCCGAAACTCGGATGGCATGGCTGCCATGGCAGCCATGCCATCGAGAGATGCACCACCCGGAGTGTGACCACCTTTGGGATTTGGAATGCATCAAGGCGAAGCTGGGTACCATTTTTGCCATCGTTATCACACATATACTATATATCATGTACTTTGGCCATTGAAGTGCCTTCCAAGACCCCCTGCGAATGCCGCTGGTTCCGGAAAAGCCGCCTGCGACGTCGAGGTCGGCTACATCTTGCGCCTTGAGGGGGCCAAAGCGCTCCTGGACGCCCAGGTCGAGGCGATCAGCGAAGCTGGGCGACCGGTGCCCACAAGTGATGGAAGGGCATGTCCGGTGATGTGCACTTTTTTTCCCTCATGATGGGTTGCAAATGATCAAGTCATTTCGGACTTGCCACATTGACTATATCTATTTATTTGTACTTATCGATTTGGTCAATCGAAAGGTGATGAGGCGATATGGTTATATCATGGGGTGACAATTGGATACAATGCGATGCATGACTATGCCAGTTGCAGTGTTTCACTACAGGTTCCCCAGGAGCCACCCCTTCCTTCTGGTGTTTTTTCCAAATGTATGATGGCATGTTGTTAGTTCTCGTCAGGGTAATAGGAGCTCGTCAAGCATTAGCACTTGCCGACAGGCTACATCCGAAGTTTTGCTTCTGAAGGTCACTTTGACAGTTCATGTCACTTCTTTGGAGAAACACCGGCCCATTCTCCGCATGCACCCACGCCAGCGTGCTTTCTTGCCGCTGGACGACTTCTTCTCGGTGGCGGCTGGCCGCGGGATGGACTGCTTCTACAACGACAAGGCGGAGTGCGTGGAGTGCATGAACAACGCATGTGGCGAACGATCCGTCGCCGATTTATTCGCATACCTTTACTCTCGCACTGACTAACATGGAAGATCATTGACATGGAAAACCCTGTTTGATCCTGTTTGTAAAGCAACATGGTTTTCAAAGGGAGTCTATGTTGCATTATGTTTCACTTCATGTTAGAGATTCAAAGCGTACCTTCTATTTCCTTTTATCGTTGAGGATGCTCAATTTTTTCACACATCGTCCGGTAATTCATTGAACACATCGTCCGGTCTTCGGCGAAGCTCCAGCTTCGCAGCTTTTGCAGGCCGAAGCTGGTGAACATGCGGTTAGGATTCGACGGTATTGGTCATGATATGTCATGATCGCCCATGATCAGCAACAGCCTGACAAGTTAAGTACAATTTTTGAGACAGGCCTTTACCAAGTAGCCATCACCACCCACTGTTGCGATCGCAGCTGGCCAGTATATTCAACAGAAGAGCCAATTATAATTGGCGTTCCACTTGGCACCGCAGTCTCATCCGAAGTCAATGGTATTTTCATGAAACACAGCCAGATGCAGCATGCAGTCTGTGGTGACAGCATTGTCAAGGCAATAGCTCATGCCCTTCTGAAACCCAATGCTCGCAAGAACGGGCTTGGGGTGCCTGTCTCCTCTCCACTGTTTTCCCTTTTATGGAAGCTTCACCTCCAAACTAGTTGCTGTCGAATCTTGATGAGATGCCCCAAAGCGGCAGCATTGTCGGGCAACTCACACGACCTTACATATAACTCATGCAGCCATGTATAAGAACCAAGCACCCCCAGATGCCAAACACATACTTTGAAGACCGATGTTTGGGTCATGGAATCCCCAAGGCTTAGTAGATAGTTGACTAGTAGATGGCCCCCCCTCCTTAAAGTGTTCAATTAGTGACCCAGCCTCACCAACTGTACAACACATTCTACATGCATTGACCCTCTTAGGTCACATATGGTCAAATGGTATTTGGTATCCAAACCGCGCACCATCCAAACGGCGCAATCGCAAACTTGGCAGGTCCTCGAGTGGAAGCCCCATGTCCCGGTGCTTCTCCGGCCCTTCGCTTTGACCCCGCCCTTGGTCATGCCGTGCGCCGAGATCGCTCGCTTTCGAGCGGCGCGGTTCACCTCCATGAGACGATCCAGATGACTTGAGGCAACATGACACCAATTTCAAGACAAATGCAATGATGGCCATAGTACCTCCCTGAGGATCCCAATGACTGCTATTTTTGGAGTCGCACGGCCTTGAATGCTGTTTTGGAGTCAATACTCGTTACGGTTTACGGGTTGAGTGTGTTGCTTCAATGTTTCAATTTCTCATGACGGCCTATCGGCCAAACTTGCTCATTTCGTTTTGGCCACCTCAGCATACATTACCCGGCATAAATCAAAGACTGATTTTCGGGGTTCCAACGCGGTTCCGGGTCTCTATTTCCAAGAACCAGGCTAGTTTCTTTGCTCGTTCCCTCCATCGCAGAGCTTGGGAGGGAGCTGAGGTCATATTTGTCACAGAAACCAGCGCTGTGAGCGTGTGTATTTTTCAGTGTTACTTATGCAGAGGAAAATCTAAAAAGTTTTAAGTATTTCCTATGCACAGGAGAATATGTGAATACCAAAATACCCAAGACCTAGAGGAAATACCAAAAATACCAAAGACCTAGAGGAAATACAGAAAATACCAAAGACCTGGTATTTTTGGTATTTTTGTGGCGTTTCCTCCAAAGAAGTTGTTAAGAAGGTATATTTTAGATGATTTGTCTATGATATACAGGTTTAGTATTCAGACACTTCTTTGAGTTTCCCATGTACGTATTGTTTTCCAAAGATTCGGTGCACAGATCTCAGTGCCGCTTTCTTGTGACGGCATTGGTACGCCTGGTGGTGTGGCGCGACAAATCAGAGAGATTTAAGTTCCAAAATTCTAAACTCTCCTGAACCCAGAATCTATAACTTGCTGGCTTGAAACCATTGAGCATAAAATTCTTGCGTCGAATCCATGAGTTGAATTCTTCATTTATGTTGGTGCGAATTCCTTTGAATCGTTTGCGCTCACTGCCCGTCAGTTGAGCCTTGCTGCATTTATTTTATGATTACCGCGATGGAATTCATCTACAATGTAGTGCTTCACCTTCTTGAACTTTTGCTTGGGGGTTTTGCGGCGCAAGATGTATTCTGGTGCCACAAGCGCGGGGCTCTCCTGACTAGGGTCGAGATCAATGAAGGTCTGAGACGCTTTGAGTTCAATGCCTCAAGCTTTGGCTTTTTTTTGGTGAAAGCGGTCTTTACATTCTTCTTCGATCTCTCGCTTGGCAGCCACTGCCTTCTCAGTACTTGTCTTTGTTTTGGGCTGAGGTCCAAAGAGTGCTTCCCGAAGTTTCACGCGATCCCTTTCTTCACGCTCACCATTTTTGCGCATGCTGTAGACCTTTGACATGACAGATGCGAGCCATTCTTGTTCCTTGGCGAGATCTTCTTCCCAGTCATCAGGCACCTCCTTACAACCTTCCTTAAAGAGACCGTACTGCTTCTTTCCCTCTGCCGTCAGGAACTCCGATACCGGCATTGTTTTCCGTTCTACTGGTTCTTGGTTGATGCCGGAATACATGTGCTCCTTGGTATTGAGTAGGAAGCAAGCTCGTTTGAAGACAGCGTCCATGTGAGGTCTGCTTGCTAGCTCGGCGAAGGCTTTTTTGACCATGTCATAGAACACCGTGAAAGGGATCTGTGGAATGAAGCTTTCTGGAAGATCCACTCTGTCATCATAGCTGTTGTCTGCTGCGGCACGGGGTTCGTTTTGCACCCACTTCGTTGCCCCCCACCGTGCCCAGCACATGGATTCGTAGAGTCCCACATCCAGAAATGCCTTGACGAGTTTGATGCTCAAGGTGGACAAGGTGGCGTCGTCCAGAAAGTCGCCCATGACCACTGAGCCTGGTTCGCCACGTAGAAAGTCGATTTCTGGTGTAAAGCGGATACAAGGTTCCGCTTCCACTTCGAAGTGCACCTTATTGAAGCGGGCCTGAGCCATGAGAATGCTCCTGCCCAGTGGGCTCTTACCTGCGCCAGGTTCTCCAAGCAGAGCCAACGCTGACTGATCAAACTCCCAGATATCCTCTAAGATCTGAAGTAGCCATGCGTGGTAATACTTGACGGTGCAAAGCTTTCTCATTCTCTACCAGCGCAACAGGCCATCCATAGATTGGCGAATCTGGGTTGCGAAGGGATACAGTATTTTGTTTGCCAACGGAGTTGTTGCGTTTGAGAGGTGCTTCGAGGGCCAAATTTGAGGATGTAGTCAAAGCCAGCGTCAATGTCGTCATCCTCCTTGTCTTCAACCGGAATGGCTTTGGAAGAGCCTTTGCGAGCTTGGCTGGAAAGCTCGCAGAGTTTGAATTGCCGGCCACCCAGGCCTTCGAAGGCGAATTGCAAGATCTTACGACCAATCTTTGGATTTGAATGCATCCATTTTGATCGGTAAGGGGTGCCATGGACAAGTTGACGGAGCATACATACTGTACCTTGACTTTCTTAGGAAAGCTGAAGTGCTTCACAATGGTGTAGTGATCAGATGTGTTTTTGAGGATGGCCATCTGCATGGAAACCTTTTTCGAGACAACCGCTTTCAATCCAAAGGGAGGTGGAAGAAGCTGCAAGTCTTGTTTATCACATGCTTCTTTGTAGATGCGGCCTAGTGCATGGAAGTCAATCTCAGCATCATAGTCATGAATGATATCGAAGAAATGCACTTGAGGTATCCACATCGTCCTTTGGGAAAGATGCCAAGTCGAAAGTTCCACGAGGAAGCTCTGGTGTGATGTTGGGTGCAGTGTTGCGACATGTGAGCCCTTCCACTATGTCCTTCAGATCATCGTAGCTCAGGTCTTCGCCAACTAGCGCCATGAGCAAGAAGATTGAGAGGACACGAGATACTCCAACACAGAAGATTACCCAGAGCAGCTCATGGAAGACAAGTGAAAGATTTCAGACAAATGCACCTTTTACTCCTTCAAAATTTTGTATGCAGTCAGTAAGAGCAGCTCATGGAAAACAATACTGCATTAAGTTTCATGGGCAGTCAATACTATACTTAAAAGTAAAGCAAAGTTGAGCATTCATTCATTGAAGACATGCTGTAATAGAATAAGCAGCACCACTGTGATTGTATGCATTTCATGTGGCAAAGTTTCTCTACTAGACACCTAAAAAGAGCTGGCTTTAATGGAAAATACACACACTCACAGCGCTGGCCTCTCATTTGTCACAGGTACGTTGGCTCAATGTTTCTGAGTGACACGGCGAAGGTGCCACTCACCGATGCGGTGAACCATGCAACAAACCTTAGAATTGAATTGGTCATGGAAGTGAGGCTCGTCAGGGGTGCGTTTGTTGAAGTGTTAAGATGTGTTAATGTATATGTTACACAGTTCGTAGTGCTCTCTTGGCATGCTGCTGGGCCTGGCCGAGGTTAAAGTCTAGATCAAGTTCCATTGATTTGTCAGAGTCGCCACATCGCTCTCGCTATCAAGTTGGAACATACAAAAGACCACGATAAGAGGTGTTTTCCCTATGGATCCCTATGGCATTTTTTGCCTGCTTTTGGGGAGGTTTCAAGGGCCTGCGTATGATTTTCCATACATATAGATGTTTTGGCAAAGGTACGACTTGATGAGTCCAGTACTTTGGGTTTCGCCGCCCAGTACTTATAGTCACATGAGTGTCATACCACAATGTGTCTTACCCCAATCAAAAAGAACACCAGCCAAGTAAGCATGGAACAGTGAACATGACCCATTCTTACGGCTGCCCTGTTCGGTGTCCATCCAGACCTCGACTCTCTGCAGGTGCGGAATGCTACGCGCTATGTACAAGACCTCCCGCCTTAAAAAGCGGACGTGGAGTGTTCGCAGTGTTCGGTCGGAAACCATGCACCGGGCTCTGTTCGGTTTGGCGACCATCCGGTGGGCCTCTTGGTGACCTGTTGAATGGTGTCAAGTGGCGGCTCAGCGACTTGAGGCACAAAGATGCAGAGAGGAACTTCCTGGTTGCTAGAACGATGAAGGGGGTTAGTCCGTAGATACAGAGAGTTAAACAGATGGAGGCAGGTGAGAGTTTCTTGATCTAGCTGGGTTTGTTTCACTCAGGCTCTATATTGTTGATATGCCCTTTAATGTATGTGTATATCAATATAAATATATATATTTATATAGTTTCATATATATATATATTAATTATATAATATGTATGTTGTACATTTGGACCTCGTTCATCCCAAGAATGTCTGTTTAGACTCTAGACTGACAGATGTAGAAATGAACGTTCATGTGGTCGTTCACGTCCCCTCCTCCGGACTTCCGGGGAGTGATCGCTCGATGCCATCCGCGTATGACACCGGACGGTCATCCGTCCCGCGTGACGTCCAGCGTAGGCACAGCTGGAGGAACGAGGTCGGAAGATCGAAGAGATGGGAAGCCGGAGGGCCAAGCGGTTGGGTCCCGTGTGCGGTGCTGTGCGGTGCCCTGTTCGGGGGTTGTGGGTCTTCGAATCTAGCATGGTAAACAGGGGTTTCATGGGGAAGCGTTTGGTAAACCAGGACCATCTGGTTGAATCCAACATAACGAATTCCGAATAACCCAACAAATCTCCATCCCGTGATGAAAGATTCATAGAAGGCAGAAGGCCTTAGAGGCCCCCATGACGATCAACATCCCATTGTTTGGGTTTGGATCATAGGGATGAGGATTCGCGAGATGCCCTCGACTCACATGGTAGTAAGATGCACTTGTTGGACGTTGCTGAGCTGTCAGCAGAACATTCCACCCACTACGGTTTGAAAAGGGAGAATCAGGCAATATTCCTGTTGCTATGGATCCACGTGCATCCTCAGAAGGCCGTTTTTGATCAGTTTTTGCCTCCAATGCTTTGTCCTGGTGCAGCGAAACCGAAAGGAGCGCGTCAGATAAGCTGGGCATATCTATTGAGGTTTAGTTTAGTTTAATTAATTGTTGTTTTTTTCTTGCTTTTTTGTTTGTTGGTCAGCTGGATCTTCCAACTTTGCAAGGTGTTGGCCGCCTTATGGTGGACTTTAGAGATGAAACTGCAGACATGTTGCACAGTTGAAACAATATATCAATATTTGCTTGCAAGATGCAAGATATATAATTTATATTGTATCAATGTCTTTTACATCCATCTCAAGTCTACATCTCGGACTTGCCACAAGACTCGAGGCGACGCCGAGCGGCTGCGTTTGGAGGCACATCAGCTCCGTGCCCGCTTGGAGGAGCTAAAATACGGCCGTTCACCGCGGCCGGGCGCGCGGTGGGACGGGTGAAACGGGGCGTCACCCATGACACTGGGGGGGGTGGTGACTAAGATAGATCACCTTCAGCCGTGGTTTGATGGAAGATTTGCGATTTGGAGGATTTTGTTTCAACCCCGAAAATATAGCGGTCGTGCTGCTGTGTGCAACGGAGCGGTGACGGATCCCATGGGCCCCATAAAACATGGTTGATGCTGCCTGATGGCTCAACAGCGGATGGTGGCTTGAGTAATTAAACAAGGAACCCATGAGCCCGGGCCTTTGGAAGTCATGGCTGGATCACTTAAGCTTCCAAGTCCAAACCAGCTATGATGTTCATCACCTTTGATCCTGTAGTTGGTACGAGTTGCAAGGATATATATATATAGAGAGAGAGAGAGGGATACAGGATGGATCAATAGTTAGACCTTTTCCCCTGAGTCCATCGCTGTTTGTAGGGAAGGCAACCTGGCGCTTGTGAAGAGACTGGCGCAAACGTCCTTTTTTTGGGCGAACGAGACGAGCCAGCGAACGTCCTGGTCGGCCATGTGCAATGTGGTCCACTGGGAAGAAAAGTGTGGGGGTGCGATGCTTGGAAGAGGAGACCGAGATCTTCAATAGGTCAGGGCGCGGTAGCCGTGGGTCTGGCAGTCGTGTGTTGCTGGGCGATTTCAGATGATACACTTAGGAGACTTAGCAATCGAAAGCATTTGATTGCAGCATGTCCATCGCCAGTCGGCCGAACAGCTTCACTTCCAAAAGTGGTGATTTCGCGTCTCACAATTTGGTGTATGATGGAGCTTAAAGTCTCCATTCCATCAATTCCGTCCCGCCACTGCATGAGGGGGGTTTGTGGAGGAGTTGGGGGATCTCATTTTGTGAGGCGCCTTGCTCGCATGGACGAGCAGCTGCGGCGCCTGCAGAATCATGATTGGCGGCCCAAGAATTTCCGTGCGAAGCATGGAAAAGTGCCTTTGGTCAGAGCAGAGGCCGCTTGGTGAAAGAAAGAGTATGCTTCTTGCATGTTTCTGTTGTGATTTCTTCAAGGGGTGAGCAGAACTTCAATGGAGCCATGTGACGAGTGCTGGAATTGTTCGCCTCCGAGATCATAAGACCTCCCACTTCTCTTAAAAATACTACCTCATGAATCCTCAAACAACCAGTATGATGCCGTATGTAATTGGTCGAGTGGATGGATGCGTGTGTGGAAGGGGATGTTTCAAGATTGGAACACCCTAGGCAAACGGTTCGGGCGAACCATTGACAAATATATAAGTGGCCGTGTTGACTCAAAGCAACTGTTCAGCCAGGCTATCCCATTATAGGTGATGGTTTTTGATGAATGTTTATTGTACGCAATTAATTTACCACTTCAACCTTTACACCCTGGGATGATTGAACGACTAATGGCTTCAAGTGAGTTGAAACCACCATTCGCAGCCTTCCTATTTAACTCCTTTCCGGCAGCCACCCTCAAGCTCGGCACCTCAGGAGAGCCACCTCGAGCTCGGTGCGTCACAGGTGGCATCGCCCTTGCGAAGCAGTGCACCCAGCGGCTCGGAGGCAGTGCCCAGTCTGGCGGCCCTCTCAGTGTTTGACCTGTCGATCCAGGTCATCGCTGGTCAATCCAGTCTACCACAACCTTGGTGCGCGTTATTTGGTGGCCTCTTCGGGAATTCGGGAAGCTTGTGTGGCTCAAAGAAGGTTCAATGCCGGAGCCACGAGCACCTCCCCAGAAGCCTTGAGATATCTTGAGATCAAGCACCTCCGAAGTAGACGGAACATGATTTGCATTGGTGCTGATCTAAAAATCAAGGTCCTTAGAAGTTTGGACATCCACCTGACCGTCGTCGATGATTTGTTCTATTTAAGTTTGATATGAAACATGGCCAATACTTAAGTTGGCAAGTGTCCCTCACCTCACCGCATCATTTATGCGCTTGACCGAGGAGACAGATAGTGAGACAGATATCAATCCGTTTCTATCCATTTCCATGTTTGCCTCGTGAATAGCTACACGAGTCTCCATGACTACCCGCCGAGGTGTCTCGTTCAACCGGCGGACGCACGGTCAAGGGAGAGGGTTTCTCACGGTCGATTCGAAGGGAAAGCGGCGACCCTTCGGACGGTCAGCTGTGGCGACGCTGTGAGGTAGTGAGGCCTCTTCGAGTGCGCCAGGGCTGTCGCCTGGGGAAGCTGGAAGTAGCTCACAGGCAGTGCTGAGCGAGAGCAGCAGCTCGGTCATAGCAAAGGAACTGATTTAGTCTATTGACTTTGGTGGGGTCTATTGACTTTCTGTCTGTAGATGAGCCGCTGTTCGCGGCGGCTGTTAAGCGGCTGTTCGACCATACCTGGTAGCACATGGTAGCATCTCTATGCATCTCTATACGACTGTTTTTTCACAGGGCCCGAGGTGCTGGACTGTCACCTGGTGGAGTTTTGAAGGTGGACCGTCACTGTCTCCAGTAGCTGCCAGGCATGTCCCCTATCATATCATGATCAGCATGGGAATGCTTGGGTTTGTCCTATTACCTGTAGAGTTGTCGGTAAACAAGGACATTTGCAATCAAATCGTATAGTCATAGTGTTGCTTCTTCTTGACTTGCTTCTAACACATCCGAACACACAACGCCTCTTTGCAAATCTGTATAATCTGAGCTTGTATACAACTTCTAGAAGGAACCAAATCGAAGTATACAGTAATTGTACATGTATTGTGTTACGTCACTGTTACGTCACAATTAACATTTACAAGGTAGATATGGTTTGCAATCAATCATTTTAAGCACGCGACCAAGACCAACCAGCAAAGTGGGAGAGAACCAAACTGTGTTATATAATCATTGTTAATCAATGAACGTAAGGTAACTGCAACGCTTTCATCAGTCCTATAATATATTTCAGAGCATTGGAGTGGATAGAAGAAACATATTCAATCAGCACGTCACAGGAACTCAAGAATTCCAAGATGATTTCCTTTGTTATGTGACCTGTTCTTTTCCTCTCCAGATTCAACATTCCGACCACCCCCACCTTCCTCTCTTCTGATCTCAGGTGCCGTGACGACCTCCGCAAGCGCGGGAGCAGCAGCCCTCGAGGCGGCTCAGCAGCGGGAGCAGCAGCTGCGCACCGAGCTGGCAGCTGCCCGGCAGGAGGCGAGGTGCTTTTGTCGGCGACAGGGAGAGAATCCGAGAGAGAGAAGGATCAAGGCATTGTTCGGAGGGTTGTTGGAGTTGTTGGGAGGATAAAGCAATCCAACATCTAAAGAAGGGCGTGAGAGAGGTCTTAGACGTGTGTGGTTTGTAGAGCTGTAGGGTGGTTTTGAGTCTGAGCTCAAACGGTATATTATCGTAGATATTCGTATATATAATATCGTATATTTTGAGGATGGAGACCTCATTGAGGATCTTCTTCAGTGTCACAGAAATCGCTCGAAACAAAAGGTTTAGTGGTGAAAGACATGAATGACGGGAGGGGGGTCAACCAGCACCGGTACGTTCACCGCATGAGTTTGATGCTTTCCAGTCAGGTGGAGCAGATGAGCAGCTTGGTCCAGGACAGGGAGCAGCAGATCCGGCGGCTGGCTGTGGACTCCTCCCCAGAGTCTGACCAAACCAGGCTGAAATCACCAAGTGGTTTGGGACAGAAACAGCTTGCTACACTCAACACTTGAATGTGCACACACACACACACACCATGTGTTGCATGTAAAAACCCATGCTTTCTGTGCCGAATCCTGGCACCAGCTGAAGGTCTGTGGAGGAGGTTCTCTATTGGTCAAGAAATCGGCCAAACGCATAGGCATAGACCGGACGTACCAATTGGATGGGTGCAACCGGAGCCCACCGTCCATGCGACGAGATGGCAGGCACCACCCGGACGACACGGCCGAGATGCTCCGCGCCGAGCTGGCCGAGCGGGAGCGGGAGGCGGGGCATAGGGCGGGGCTGAGCGATGAGGGGCTGAGGCGGTGCAAGGCCTCATACACTGGATTACGCCAATTTAGGTTTGACATGTATATATATATATATACGTATACAATTGTATATATATATAGACACCATGTAATTTTACATACTACAATGTTTATATACATTGTTTATATTGCAAAAATATAAGTTTGCTGTACAGCATGTACACTCCACAATCCTTGGCACCTTACGGACAAAGCCTGTGAATGCCTTCGCAAAAAATGCCAAGTGTCTAAAGCACTTGCTGGAAGACTTGCTGTCACAGCGTGTAGTTTTGAATGTCCACAGAACTATGCTGGAGAAGGAGTCTTGTCTGGCCAACAATTGGCCAATTGTTCAATTGACCATGCCTCACTCATGGGCTCCAAGATTGCCAACTGCAGGATGTAGAAAAACGTAACTAGTAGGGGACTCACCGTAGTTTTACTGTAGTTGTTCCCACTATTGACATTTATGAACGACCTGTCCTGTCCTTGTGCCGTTCCCTCCTGGGCGTTCAGCGTCTTGACCTAGGTCGCCACCTTGCGGCAGGCGGAGTGCCTGGTGGAGAGGCAGGCAGCGGCCCAGCTGCGGCAAGCCAGGGTGGAGCTGGCAGAGACCCGAAGGCAGCAAGAGATCTTGGGGCTGGAGATGTGCCTCAGATGAAGATGGTCAGGAAATTCGATGGTTGGGAAACGTAGATCATTGATCATGTTGCACTGGAGGTGGCATCAGGTGTCCTAGTCTGGTCTACTGGGAATGAAGCACATGGCATGACTCAGCATGACTCTGTCCCTCAGGCACTTTGAGGGGCACCAAGAAACAACCATCATTGCCAGACATTGTCCATTGAAAGCTCCTCAAAGCTGGCTTCAAACTTTGCACCCCACTCACAAAGCAGCGCTTGGGCTAGCAATGGCTAGTATCTCAATCCCCAAAAATTACCACATTGTCATCACATTGTCATATGAGAGTTTTGAGAGTGGAGTCAAGTCAAGTCACAAGGGGATTGCTTGCATTGCCTGCTTGTTTTGCAAATTATGGTCATCGTGACCTAGTCATGCCAACGGAACACGTACATATTGTGACAGCCTTTGAGTGGGCCCCCCAAACACCAGCACAGGATGGAGGACTGATGAAAGCTGGAAAGGTGTTTGGACAATGTCGACATGTTGGTTTACAATGGCTTAGAGTTCTTCCAGTAGACTGCCAAACAACGGCTTGGATACCAGCTGCGGTGACCTTTGTGGCTGCAATCAAAACATGAGACATGATACACAATTTTTGTTCGGATGATGTTTGAGTGTGTGAAGATGTTTGAATGAACCCACAAGTGAAGTCATCACAGAAGCGGTGTTCTTCTTTCGAAGTCTGAAAACTCTGCAGCTGAGGCAGGAAGCGGATCCTTGGACGACCAAGACATAGAACGACCGACGCGCTCCCGGTGGGTCTTATTATGTTTATATACCCTAGGATTCCAACAGCTATTGTTTTTAAGTCGGTTGCCACAAGAGACATTTCACGCAATCTGGAAATGTCGGTTCTTCTTTTCTCCGCAAAAGCCACTGCTTCACCTCCGGGCCGTTTGATTCAGCCTCAGCTTCAACAGTTGTTGTAGTGTGGTGTGTGGTATGCCAAATTCAACCCAACAAACCAATTTTTGCATACTGGAAGCGTTCGAATCCTCCTTTTCATTGCCAGCAACCTGCAGCAGAAACTTTTGATCACAAGTTTCTATAATATACGCTCAAGCTGGCCTCAACTTGGCACATTTTGCCAACCATTGCGTTTTCTTCGTGGGGTGCGCATTTTTCGATATCCCTGAGACATCCACCACAAGACACCACATGGTTTCACACAGGGATGCGATTGCCAGGTGCCAAGAAAACAAACACCTGTGATGCAACCAGAATTCCCTTGCACCACCGCATGAAGTCTTCATCCAGGAACGTGTGGAAATAGCGAGGGTTGAACCCTTGGATGAAGGATACAAAAAGGTCACCAGCCAACCATGAACATGTATACTAAATCGAAACCTCAAAAGGCATGTCAAGTGACTCGTTCTCGCAAGATCAGCACAAATATGTGCAAATCCCTTAGCTAGTTCATCATCGATCAAATCACATGTTCTTTTGCTTTTGGTTGCTGTCACAACGTGCCATGCAAAAGCATGATTCACAACCAAATGCAGTTTTGCAAATTCAAGACCTAGCCACGTGGTACTTCGGACGCATGAGCCACTGCTGCTTCATTTGCCTTCGGAAGTTGGAATGCTCATGTTCCACACTCTTTCAGGATCAACCACTAAAACACCCGATGACCCATGACCAGGCCTTATGCTCAATATTGTCAGCACCTTGTACGTGTCCAAAAAAACGATATCCAGTATCGGCCATCTCTTGAGCAACAGTAGGAGACCTGGATGTTACCAGACTCCCAAGGCCAAACTATTGCGTGAAATGTCTCTTGTGGCAACCGACGTTAAATTAAAACAAGCTGTTGGAATCCTAGGGTGTATGGCGATTAAGAATGCGCCAAGTGTCACGATTCTCCCATTCTGCTCCATCATTGAGAAGAACTTGGCCAAGCAGTTCCTGACAGGTTTGGCTGTAGCGGCTCAACACATATATAGGTTGAGCAGCCATGTCGACATCAATAAATTGTCTGATTTTGTTGCTGAGAATCATGCATTCGGAGGCTATGAGCAAAGTTTCATGATCAGGGTGAGTCTGGAGGGCATCATGCAAGCAATGTGCTAGCCAGCTCACAATAACACGGGCATTGTAGGCCTTTGTGACCAAGAGACCATCTCCGTTCTTTTGTTTCACCTCAGAGCCATATACTGGGGAACAGGAAGACTAACACGGAACTACAAAGCACCAATTTATAGTTGAAGGGTTCACACAGTCTAAGTCTAGACAGTCTACACTGACCAGATTTATCAGTCTTATGTCAAGCCACATGGTATATCAGAAACGGTGGCTGGCTGTGCTGGATCTTGCGGACTTTGCAAAAGCTCAGAAAACTCCTGTAGGAGCTGTCCAACATGGTGACAAAGTCATTGCCTTCGAAGTATCCCAGGTCTTCAATGAGAAGCAGCCTCAAGTGAAGGTGAGAGGAGAACACAAAGACATGACATAGACATGAGCATACAGTACATGAACCATGGTTCTGGGTTCATGATGTTACGAGCTGGCCAAGATCAACGTCATGTCCTGATTTGCCTCATGGGTCATGGGACTGCCTTGCTTTTCTGCCTTGGTTTTGGGCTGTGGAGTGCCTTGGATTGAAAACGAAAAAGTGGTTGCTGACAAGCACAAGTCAAGGGTCAGGGATCCACCATTGGCACTGAAGCACAGGCCAAGGTTAAGGGTGTGCATTGTACACCATTTCAACATGGACGGGTCGAAGCCAGTAAGAAGCAGAAACGGGCCTTTGTTCCACTGTTAGTTGGAGACATGGTCAAACATATCATGCTTTCCCTAAACCAAACAGATTGAGTAGAGAAATAAACACTATTTCTGAAGAATTGCAACTCAGTTTCACAGGTTTGTAGTTTTGAGTCTCAGAGACACAAACTGGTCCAAGTTGAACTCATTCTGGATCCACGAGCAAGGCCCTGATAGAGCAGAACCTGAATTGCTAAATGAGTTGTCTGGATCTCCCTTTGAAGTAGCGGGGCATCGGTGGCAGACTTGCACGGAGTTCCATCCAGTCTTGTGGAATCTCCATACGTCACGATGCCACTCCCAGTCTCCCCTGAGCTCAACCAGCATGAACCTTTGGCCCGTGGAGACGATGGGATTTCCAGTCCTTGAGTCAACTCCTGTGTATAGCATGTTAACGCTTCGGACTATGTGCCTGAGAACCGTGTTTATCGTACGGTTCTTGAAGACCTTCTCTTTTGGGATTGCAAACAGCAAGAACCGACTGTATCTCGTGGATCGAGGTCTAAAGTGCAACAAGCTGAGTGATATACATAGCAGCTTCTCCTTGCGATAGCGTGTCCAAGTTTGAGCACAGTCACCGTGAAGTCCCAAAGGGATGTGCTGTGAAGAGGCAGCTCTAGCCCAGCCCTCGCCAACTGCTTTTGCATGCTCCCAGAACTCTCGAATCGCACGAGTGTCGAGGCTGATACCAACTTCTTCAATCAGGTATTTGATGATATTGTGCGGAAGGATTATAGGGAAGGTCTCAGTGGCAAGCCCTCTCGGAGTTTTGGGGGATAGGACAGGCACTTTGATCGTCCCAATTTCCTTGAATGTATGCACCAAAAAAATGCCAAGCAAAGCATAGGTTCAAACAGACTAAAGAAAAACTAATGCCAATCCCCAAAAAGTAACTTAATACTGCAACAGCCTCCACCGGGATATTTGCATGCTTCCAGAAATCTCGGACGTCATTTCTTCCAGATTTCATGGCCAGGTGAGAAACAGGTGTCTTGGTGAAAGGGCCACATTCCTCAAATTGCATACATCCAGGTTGTAATTTCAAAAGAACAAACAAAAATTTGAAACCGTGAGGAGACATGCACCACCTCTAAGCGAGTCCCAACTGCCAAGGTGCCTTTGCATGCGAGCGGATGTGTTTCATTGCTTGGAGGACGGAAGCTGCCTGGGATGGGCGAGACTGAGAGCAATCGAGGTTCCCTCCCAGTCTGTGGTCATCCAAGCATTTGTTCTGTTGTTGTGCAATTCTTCCTCAATCATGTTTTTTAAGTAAACATAAATTGTTTACCTCGATACCTTCGAGTTTCATATTTGACATCACCCTAATTCATCAACCCGTCTAGAGAGTACAATAGAGTACACAAAGATTCGGGGGATGGGCTGCATTATACGAGACTCTCCAGAGCTGACATCATCATAGGCATCTTGAAGCACTCGTGATGGTAAAGCACCTGCAAGGAACACGCTGCGCACATTGTACACATGCATCGACATGGATACTATGCACACATGTGTCAGCAGGTGCCCATGGCCATTTTTTTGTTCTCGGTGCAACTGGTAGATATGGCTTCCAAGCCTGTGCTTTCCAGGCTATCGAACACCAGCAATCATCAAACAAGGGGTGCCGGGGAGTGTAGCACTTGTCCCTGACACGGAAGCACGATAATACATAGGAAGTAAAAGGTGGTTGACAAACAATTATTGTAACATATATGGTATCTTGCTTTCAAGTGTCACTACTTTTCAGGTGGCCACCAGGGTTTCTAAGACAGATTTACCCCAACCTGTCATTTCCCTGTGGGCGCACCATGGCCACTATAGGCTCACTCACCACAAATTGCACCCCTTCAAAAAGCTCTCGAAATCTGCGTTGGCTTCTTCCGCTTTCTTTTTGGATTTCGCCAGCGTCTCCTCGGACCCCACCTCCAAGGCAAGGAGCACAATAGATAGTAGCTTTTCAATGATTGGAAGTTGGGTTAAGAGTCTAGTAAGCAAAAAAATCATAGTCGAGACCTTGGCAGCATCCAACGTGCTTTGGTAACTGTTGCGGGCTTTCTCAAGCTCCTTGACTTTCGCGTTCAAATTTGTCTCCACTGCCGTTCTGACAGAGGCAGTCCTCAGGGTGGCAAGTCTATCTATCATGTGTCATGTGTTTAGACTCTTGCTGGTGCATGTCAAAATTAAGGCTTCCACATTGCCGCCATCTTTGAAACACGCACTCCAGCAGCCTTTATAAGGTAATTGTTCATTTTTGCCAAAACCTGCACAAGTTGGGTTCACACTGATATTCAGAGAGGAAACGCATGATAATGATAACACAGAAACAGTTGAACTTCAAAAAAGAACCACCTTGTTTGCACCAGACAGCGTCTTCCTGAACTCTGCAGTGCGTTCCTTCTCTTTTTTTTCTCAGTTCCTCTTTGTCCTTTTTTTCTTGTTCTTTCTTTTGCTTTTCTCGTTCTTTCTCATCCTTCTTGGCTTGTTCTTCTGGCGTGAGCTTCTTGGATTTGTTCTTTTTGTTCTTCTTGTCTTTTTTTGGCACCACACTTTCCCTTTGTTTTTCCCTTTGTTTTTGTTTCTTTCTTTTCCTTTGCCCGCTTTGTCTTTGAATCCTGGCAGATCGACTGACCAAGAATATCCTAAACAATATTGTTGAGTTGCAATGGATATTGAGGAAAGTAATGACTAAGAACAGGTTCCTTGGAACTTGAAGAGGCTGAATCAACGGAGCATTCAACCGATGAACTCGATGTGGATTTCTTGGAAGCGGATGTGCTGTGCGAAGATGACGACGAGGATTTCTTCCTTTGCTTCTTATTGTCCTTCTTGTGTCCCTTGTTTTTTCTGCGTTCCTTGCTCCTGCCCCGCTGTTCCTCAGTGTCATCTCCTTCTGCAGCACGGAACAGTGATTCGCAAATTGTGTCTTCTTGCTCTTCTTCAGTTTCATGGTCC